AAAAGTATTCTGGGGCTATAATAGCTAAATCACCGGTAGTAAATTCGTTATATTATTAAAAAGAAATTGACTCCATAGTTTAATTCCTTAGTTTCTTGAATACGATTATTTTAAGCACTTAAACATTTATACCACCAATTTTAGCCATGGGGTGATTTCCTGAGAGCCGATAATATCACGAATTTCTCATAGAACCCCTCAACAGTGGCTTGCTTTTTTGGCAGCCGATTCGGCCATCGAACCGGAGTTTAAATGGAAGCTGATAATAACCCAAAGCTCTGAGAAAAATTTTGAGATGAGTATAAGAACGGTTTGTTGTAAGTAGCGAGGAGAGGCGGGCAAAGCGGCTAAAATCCTATCTAATTTTTACAGTTTTTCTGTTGAATTAATGTTGCCGCGGGCTTCTGACTGTCCACACATAGTTCTGTTCAGCATATCGATACATAAGTATTTACATTTTACATACGTAGAATCTAATTTTCACGTCGGGGAGTTGACATATTTTGATTTTTTCGATTTTATACGGAAAATTGATGGTTTTTCGGGATTGAAATTATTATTGTTTCATGAAAAATAAATGCACCCAAAATGACTATAGCATATTGATTCTTACACATTTGCACTCACAAAATTGGTTGGTAAATTCAACGAGTGGGTGCATCGACCTGGTATATCAAGTTTCTGCAATTTTTTACGGCAAATCAGTAGATTTTCGGGATGTAGATTGCTTACTTTCAATTCATGAATGAATAAAGCAACGACATGGTTGAACTTCTTTGCATGGAAAGACGTTTAAAATAACAAAATCAAGACGTATTTAATGCAATTGCATTTATATCGAGTCAATTTCTTTTCAATAATATAACGGGATTTTTACTACCGGTGATTTGGGTATTTTAGCCCCAAAATACCTTTAAATCGACTTTATCTTCTAGGAGTTCGACAGAATTTTTCCTTTCTTCGCTTAAATTATTCCGTAGCACTTTTCTTCAAGAATCTGATAAGATTTTGCTTGAGGCAGATCAAAAAACTTAAATTCGATCGAATAGCTTTCTACTTTCACAATACACGGTCTCGTCAAGGTGCGTCTTTGACCTCGCAGTGTTGGATCGTGAATTCTCTTTTTATGCTGTTTGCCTATTTTGAAATCTCTGTAAATGAAAACTAAAGGGGTTGATATGTGCGAGTTAATGACGCGCCTTATCAACACATTGTGTTGGAGTTCACTGCTTGTTTTACTTTAGCCGTGGATGTGTAGCTCCTCTCGCACATTTACAGAATTTCTAATAGTATTCTTTGTGGAATTCAACTTTCAACGACAGTTCTTTGTTTCACATTTTCGTTTCCATCCCTAAAGGCAGCACGAAACACTACATCTCAAAGTAATAAACTTAGAGAGAATGCAATATTGTTGGTGGCAAAGTAAGGGGGACTACCTAGATACATCGACTTCATCCACCCTATTGAGCATTTCGGATCGTCTGTATCTCCTCTTAGAAATAATTCAAATTTCCCGAGAGCGATATTCTTGTGCGCAACTTTCACTCCTTCCATGCCATAAATGTTATTTACGACATGATTTCGACGGAATGCGAGTGGAGACAATTTTTAATCCATTTGTCACATGATTTACAAGAGCCGTGTTTTAATCTTATTCCTTTGCTCGTAAGTCATTGCAAAAGACATTTTTTGGCAAGACGCGTCCACGCAGTTAGTACTTGAGAGGGTTTGCAGACAGAGGCAGTATCTCTGTATAAGTTCAGCCCTGCGATCATAATTGAGACTGGATGGTTACGCCCCCTGACCATAAAGCGGTCCAACCCCTAAAAGCGGGACGTGCCTCAGGCATGCGCTACGCGTTACTCTTGTGATGATTTAATATTATAGAGTGAGATTCCATTACCATGACCGAAAAATTTCGATCATCTGAACCAAACACGTTTGGTGTTTGTTGCTCAAAATTAGGTAAAGTTCAGTCCCTGGTATCGAACTTTTTTTCTCAGAGCACTTTAAGGCAGTGGCAACTTTGCTGGTTGGCACTACTGCTTTTCTTCCAGTGGTGTAAAGTGCTTTGCGGTATATTGATTGATTGTCCATTTAAACATATGGAAAAGTATCGATAAACAGGGTGCTCACAGCGAACACCTTAATAATCGAGTATTTACCACAGCTTCAAATGGGGAAATATCTATAGATCGCATACGTTTAAATGGAGGAAAAACTGTTGCCAGCTTTCAAGAATCACCATTGCTTCAGTCAACGCAGTCTACATATGATTACTCGGGCTTTGCCGATAAATCAAGGTTTCCCATTAACATACCCATACACAAGGTATATATACATCTGCGACGAAAATACTCTACTGTGCTAAAGAATAACGTCGTATAGACATTCAAGAAATGACAAATTCCTACGATGAAATGGGCATTTTGAGGAGAGTTTTAAATATTTTCTCCTCAGATTTTCAAATAATTTAGATCTGGTTGGGAATTTAATTCTCTGAAAAATAGGAGGGTAAATTTTCAAAAATATCCTACAAAGTCTTATCAGGCTCCTCAATAATCTTCCGTTGAAATTGAGAAAACGATTGGAAGACTGGGAAGTAGGGTGGTCCACAAAAAATGAATTTTGGAAATTTATAGCCGTAACCCTCTAAATCGGTTACAGCATAATCAAAAACACGGGAAATGAAATTTGGGGTCAATCGGACAAAATTAACTCGACGCGCAGTTGCCATTTATCCCCGCAAAAATAGCGAATTTTTACTGTTTTTCAGTAATTTTTCGCTCCCAAAAAATAAAGTCAGAGGGGCTCCAAATTAAACAGAGGGCAAAATTAGTTCATAAACTACACCCTAGTGAAGTTTTGGACCCCCTCCATGCTTTTGACCCGACGCGCGGTTGCCATTTTATAGCATGAAAATAGTGAATTTTTGACTGTTTTTGATGATTTTTCCATCTCGATAAGTTAACGTTACAGATGCCTAAATTGTAATCAGANAAGTAGGGTGGTCCACAAAAAATGAATTTTGGAAATTTATAGCCGTAACCCTCTAAATCGGTTACAGCATAATCAAAAACACGGGAAATGAAATTTGGGGTCAATCGGACAAAATTAACTCGACGCGCAGTTGCCATTTATCCCCGCAAAAATAGCGAATTTTTACTGTTTTTCAGTAATTTTTCGCTCCCAAAAAATAAAGTCGGAGGGGTCTGCAAATTAAACAGAGGGCAAAATTAGTTCATAAACTACACCCTACTGAAGTTTTGGACCCCCTCCATGCTTTTGACCTGACGCACGGTTGCCATTTTCACGCATGAAAATAGTGAATTTTTGACTGTTTTTGATGATTTTTCCCTGTCGATAAATTAACGTTACAGATGCCTAAATTGTAATCAGAGTGTGAAATTAGTAGCTAAGATGCTCCCAATGCTCCCCTTCTGATAATTTTGACACGCTGCGATGTTGCAATTTTTCTGAGCAAAATCGTGAATTTGACTTATTTCAATATCATCTCTCTAGACCTAAAAAAAACTCAGGAGCCATCGAAAAACTGCGCTAAAACACGGTGATTACACCATGAGTATCTTTTTTGAAAATTTGGACCCTGTTAAATGTCTTACTCGGCGTGAAGTTACCTCACTGCCTGACCGGTCAGGCAGTCAACCTTCTTAGATTTCGAAAGTCTCAAGATAACATTTTTGGCAATTTCTGCCATTTTCGATTTTTGAATTTTAAAAATTTGAGTTGAGATTCAAGTTCCTTCTTAAAAAATACCTCCTGACACCATGACGGTAACAGTCAAGTTTCATACGTTATTGCGCCTTCAATTACATTTGATACGGTGCAATACTTTCGTGATGGAATAGTTGCATTGGCGCCTACAAACCTAACAGGGATACTGCATGCATTGCGCAATGAGTGAAGTATCCCTGTTAGGTTTGTAGGTGCCAATGCAACTATTCCACCACGAAAGTATTGCACAGTATCCAATGTAATTGAAGGCGCATTAACGTATGAAAATTGACTATAGTGTAAGTGTAGTATAAGTGTCAACCACTGTTTGCAAAGTGGTAACTTCGCGCCGAGTAAAACATTTAACAGGGTCCAAATTTTCAAAAAAGATACTCATGGTGTAATCACCGTGTTTTAGCGCAGTTTTTCGATGGCTCCTGAGTTTTTTTTTTAGGTCTAGAGAGATGATATTGAAATAAGTCAAATTCACGATTTTGCTCAGAAAAATGGCAACATCGCAGAGTGTCAAAATTATCAGAAGGGGAGCATTGGGAGCATCTTAGCTACTAATTTAACACTCTGATTACAATTTAGGCATCTGTAACGTTAATTTATCGAGAGGGAAAAATCATCAAAAACAGTCAAAAATTCACTATTTTCATGCGTGAAAATGGCAACCGCGCGTCGGGTCAAAAGCATGGAGGGGGTCCAAAACTTCATTAAGGTGTAGTTAATGAACTAATTTTGCACTCTGTTTAATTTGCAGACCCCTCCGACTTTATTTTTTGGGAGCGAAAAATTACTGACAAACAGTAAAAATTCGCCATTTTTGCGGGGATAAATGGCAACTGCGCGTCGGGTTAATTTTGTCCCGATTGACCCCAAATTTCATTTCCCGTATTTTTGAACATGCTGTAACCGATTTAGGGGGTTACGGCTATAAATTTCCGAAATTCATTTTTTGTGGGCCACCCTACTGGGAAGTTAACGCTTTTTTCATGGGGTTAAAAACCTCATTCGTTTGTAAGGCATTTTATTCTCTAAATCATTTTTATAATGATTTTTTTAATGTAAATTTGGGGGGGGGGTTTACTGACAAGTATGCTTAGACACTATGTTAGTGTCATTTATGTACTCTAATGTAAATAAATAAAAATAAATAAAGAAATTAATTTACCCAAGAAACTTTGGCAACGTCGGACGGCTCATACGGCGTTTTTCCTTCGCACGGCAGAATTGTAATATGGAGTTTTTATAGAACTTACTTGTACTTGAAGTTCAGGCAAACTGGCAATCGGGAAAACTTTCATACTGGGATTCTCTTTGGGAGTGAGTCGGTAGAACTCCCGCTTTCCCTTGTACCACTTGACCGAGTAGAGTGAGTCTCCTTCCAGGTGGAACAAGCACTCCATTACCGCGTTGTCGCCCCTTTTAACGGCCTGCGGAATGATCACCTTCACGTCCCGAAGGCTGTCAACCAACTTGATCGTTCCTGAAACAGGAAAACAAAAAAATACACTCTACCTCGTTCTGATTGGATAGCATTTTATCTTTGGAGAATGATTTAATCGTGATAATTTTCGGATTTTAGGACATTTCTTCAGAATTCCTATGCGTTGGCGATTCCAGACCTTTACGTGTTTGGGTGCCGAGCTCAGAACCGCATGTAGGAGGCGTGATTTGACGATCTTAGGGGGGGGGGGGTGTGCCGTGGGGGCAATGGGATACCTCCTAGCAAGAAGAAGGTCCGAGGGTCCTTCCCGGTAAGTTTAATAAATTGAACTCACGGATGTCATTTTAATGTATTTTTTTACAAAAATATTTCAATTCTTTTTTTTTTAACCATTTCAAATATCCCTGAGGAACAATCTCACGCTTGCCGTCCCTGAAGTCCCTTTCTTCCTTAGTCTCTAATCAAGCCAGCCGCAGGTAATCGTTGTTTGAAACCATAAAACTCGGGTCACCTGTCCCCGGGAATGGAACCCCGGACCTCCCGATCATAGAGTAATATTTACATCCACTACACCACGGGAGACCGGAAAATCTGGGAAAATGTCATCAATCTAACTATACATTTTTATACTTTTAGTCCACTTTCATGTACTTTTTTGTTAATACTTAAAGGCATTTGTAAAATTAAACCGCTTTTTTGGGTTTCTGTTGTTTTAATATCACCTTGTATTTCGCTTGCTGGTCCAAGCGAACCCAAGCGGAACCGCCTATGTTCCTATACCATATCACGTCGTAGGACGTCAGGTATTTTTATTTATTTATTTATTTTTTTTTTAAATGGTAACATATTTCATTTGTTTCTTTTATTACAAATTGGAATGGGGCCGACAGCAGCCCCACCCGAAATGGGAAGATTCATATCATACAAAGTTGGAAGTGCTTGACAAATAGTAAGGGGCACTATTTATCCTTAATCTAGCATTACGCAGTTTGATTTCTTTTTACTATTAAAAATAAATTGTCTCTTGTATTTAACTTATTATATATAATTGTGATTAAAAAATTCAATCAAAATTACTTAAAATACTAATGTTACCGCCGGAACCGTCCTTATGGATATTACATCGGGGAGGTAGGGGTTGGTGTCGGGGAAGCACGCTTACATTTAGTGTTTTATTTTTTCTTATCAGTATGTTCCTTATGAATGTATATGTTGTGTTCCAATTTTCTTTATTGAGGAGCATATTGCCAATTATTGTTTCTGGAACCAACTTAACATCCCTGCCACTCTTATTAGATATTTTTATTAGAATTCGTCACTCCTTTGACGTATAAGGACGTACAGCCTGTGTCACACTATCAAAGCTAAACATCAAAATATCAAGGTCAGATGTTGTGGTTGGCTTATTCGATGACTTGGACCAATCACAGTACTTGAACTTGACATTTTGATGAAGTGTTTCGATAGTGTGACACATGCTTATCCCAATTTCCGAATGATCCCTTTTCTCCGTATAACTCTGCTATCAGGGGCTAGTGTGGAAGCAGAGATACGCCGTAACGCCAAAATGAGCAACGAATTATCTGAGAAAAGTTCGCGCAAAAACATTGAGTGGTATATGATTCCAAAAAAATTTATGAGAGGAAATTTCGGAATGCCGCAATGGACCACTAGACAAGGTACGAACTTAAGCAATCTGATACATGTTTCTTAACCAGAATTTCACGTAGAACACGATTCACACTACGAAAATTACCGAAATCAACTTCTAACGAAGATATTAACGTTTTTATTTCGCACTGATTACGAGGAATTTGAACTGCCCGCTCACAAGAAACTCAAAGCTCTACGTGAGTCAAATCGCGCACTACAACGGTTTCAGCAAGCTTCTCAATCGAGCAATGTTCATTTT